TTTGTATTTTAATACAAATAATAAATACTTTCATTGAATAATATTGCAAATACAATTACAAATATGAAGTCTAAGAATATTGGAGTAAAGTATTTCAAATACTTTTACTCAAATATACGTATACTTTACAAGTATGGAATAAACCAATTGACGCAGATATTCGCAGTGGAAAATCCCCTAACCATCCTCCTTTGGGGGAGGGGGGATTAGCTTACAAGTACTATTACACACTCATTTTTTAAAAAACGTTTCAGCTGTTTCGTCTAATCTGAATACCGCAACCTATCAGTACAATACACGAATCTATTGTTTCTGTTCGTAGTCGTTGTCAGTTCAGCATTTGAGTATTTGATAGCAGCAATTAAGAAAAAGGTTGACATTATTCTTTCATGAAAACATAAACTAAACGTAATTTGAATACCCTTTAACTTACGTTTAATGTAATAATAAATATGTATACAACACTGGAATACATTAGTTTTTTCGTATTTCATTGGATTATAACATGCCGTACGTGCACACCGATTGGTTATTGGTAGACCAGTGCGTAGACGCACACACACATATGATCGACAATACATATTTAAAAAGTGGCAATTTGCATAGTGTATACTTTCACTCTTTTACCCTTTCCCACGAAATAATACTTTCAATAGTAAGCACACCGATATCAGCTAACTAATCTAAAAAACCACATTGAACGCTCATGATCTGTATCAGAGAAGAAAAACAATGCTGAGCATTATGGAATGTTTAAACGAAAATATTACTATCATACGTTAAAACAACTGTTATTTACAAATAACAATAACTGTTATTGCCGATTACCACAAAAACATAAAATATAAAAGCTTATAAAATAACTTGCCTGATGTGTTTTCCTTCGAAAATTGTTAGAGAATTGTCCATTTTGCTTCTTTGTGCCCACTGACTGCGTACCTCTTCTTGAACTCTCTGTTTTAGTTCCAAGACTCGACGTCGTTCTTGTTCTATCACTTGAGATCCTGAAATAAACGAAATAAAATGCAAGGATATTGTAACCGTGTTATTTCGTTTTCTAGTTAAAAAAAACTGGACACTATAGTGTATATGATAATATAATTTTTCCTAACGCTTTTCTATCCCTAAAAAAAGGGTTAACTGTGAACACTAATTACACACTTAAACTACTTTTTATTTATATCCTGTTGTATTTATAAAAACTTATTTATTTGTCACTATATCACTGTATTAACTTATAATTCGCACTTTTTATTTATATTATTGATCAGCTAATTCTGATTGTCAACCAGAGGCCTAATAATACCTAATTGTCGTCGAATCTTCTGTCTTCTGAACAGTCTTCATTCTCCTAAAAACTTCTAGAACTTCTATTGTTAGCGGCAAATATGTGTCATTTATTACCTTCATCGTATTTAATGGGGAACATGGATTGTTTTTTTTTTATGGAAGATCTAGTTTACTTTGAATATAATTTATTTATTTTTTACTATTTATCAAATTTAAAAAAATTTATGCATGTCTATTCCAAATGTTTATAAAAAGCAGTCGTTTCGTACCACTGCCTTTTGATCAAAATTTGGTTATTTTATTCTAGCACAAGTTAGCAATACCTAGTAAATCTTTAAAACGAATTTACTAGACTCTAGATTGTGCAAAACGATTGCGCACAAATAATTGAATCATATTATAATTCCATTTCATTTTTTTTATTATCTTTACATCAATTCGGTTCTTTTGTACAATTAAAAAAAACAATAAAATATTTTTGGCAGGGGAGGAAATAAAAATTTAAAAAGGGTTTGATCTTAAACGTACTGTAGTTGTCGTCTTATAATATACAGGAAGGACAAATTAAAAAATGGTGTAGTGTTTATCAGAACACATTTAATAAATTATAGTCTCTGTAACCCACGAACCTCAAGTCACTGAGTTAACCATTTAATCATTTTAAGTGACCCGCTTGAATTTCGATTATAAAGAACTTACAACTTCCATAAACGAAACATACACTTTAAAACTGTGTAGTACCTATTTCTTTTAAATAGTTCAACTAAAAACAGGTCTCATATCAAAGACCCACTTTTAGTGTTGCTTTTCGTTAGTTTGGGTTTTTCTGGATTTTGATTTGATTACAAGCCAGCAGTAACAAATAAAGTGGGAGTACAGAGACATTCCGAACGAGTTTCTTCATTCAATGAACGGGTTATTAGTCGCTCTCTTTTACCTTTTTTNATAAGTATATCGGGGTAATCATTTGTCATTTTCAGGAATAAACTATAGTGATGATTACGTAATAAAGTGAAATGTCATATAATTATTTAATTAAAATAAACTATCCAGAGTTGTTTTAATTAAATGCAAATGTAGATAACAGAAATATCTCAAAAATGACTTTTAAATAAAGTTCTAAATATGAATAATTCATTTACTGTCAAACTGCCGATAGCAGCTGTAATGTTGTAATTGAACCATTAATTTTTGACTTTTTGCCAACACAACTTGGAATGAATTATTATTCAAAATAATCGAATAAATTATGCGAAGATTATATCTATTTGAAATTGTTTGAGTAATTTGATTTACAGTGAACATTGTTATTGTTTTGAAATATTGTTATATTCCTGCACTGTATGCTACTGTTTGAAAACGAAAGCGAAAATATACAACGATAAACAGTTCTTTCCAGTTTTGTAAATATTATGTTGAACTACGACATTTTAAATTATTAATAGTGGTTAATATGAAATATTAATGTGAAAATTCATTTTTCATTTTTTAATATTAATTATTAATAACAGTTTTACTATTTTTAATTTAAACTTGAAAGCAACAGTTCAGTTGCCATTATACCTATCGTTTCTATAACTTATCATCCTATAGTTTAAAAAGTTGCACATCTACATACCTTGTTGCACTAAGTGCAGCTGCCGATTTCTTTCAATTTCTTTTAAAGATTCAATAGTCTTTTTTCCCAAAGATCCCCGGCTACCGTCTATATTCATAGGAGCGTCTAGAGTAACCTTGCTTATTCTATCAATATCATCTTGACTTGGAAATTTTTTTCCTTGGAAAATATAAATATCTTTTTTATTTATACTATTTTCTTATTCAATATGAACTGTACCTGTAGCCCTAACGTCTAGAATCGATTTCTCCTGTAGCATTTTTTCGTTAAACGATTGAGACATGTTAGACATATCTTCATACTGTTTTTTGGCAGAATTGGTTTCAATCATAGAGAAACTTAAATTTTGAATTGCGTCAAAAGTCGGCCGGTTTTCATTTCTAAGTTCGACTTCTCCATCACTTTCGCTCGTAAATTCTTGGTCTGATTCATCCCTACTCACAGCACTATTGAGTTCGTTTTCAACCTCTCGCAAACGATGTCGATGCTCTTCAAGAGCTTTAGAATATTCCATCATCTGTACTTCGAGAGTATCAAATTCTTGCGAGTTATTTCGGGAGGTTTCCACCTAAAATCGATTGCTTTATTAAGTTGAATGATATAGATGATTAATTTTGTTTTATAAGAACAATCTCCAATAATAGCACTGTAGTTATTACGTATTTTATAAATACTTTTCAAAATGTTGTTTATGCCTTTAAAGAAGGCTAGGTAGTTATAACAGAAATAAGCATCATATTTGGGGAGTATATGCATATACATGCAAGTAAAAAAGTAAAAAATATACATGTGATCGATCGATTTTCGAGTATTTATGTATAAAACTTATAAACTCTAAAAGTGTATAAACAAAAATCTACACCGCCAATACTCCTAACGTTTTAGCACAGTTTTTTAAAAAAAAAAGGTTTAAAACATATAAATGGATTCCTTATAATTATATACAGGGTGACTCAAAAAGTATGCAAAATGCTCATGGCAGTCAAACGGTAAGTTAAATCGAAAAAATTTTCAAACAAAGCATGGCCCCTGTTTTAATACAGTATGGTGTGTAGCAGCTAAAATTCATTTGGTTGGAAAATAGAAAAAAAGGTTTCCTTAAAATAGCAGTCATGCGAAATATGGCTCCAATAGAAAAAAGTTATAGGAAAAAAACAAAATTTGTTCCCCATTTTAATACAAAATAGTGAAAATTTCCGCTAACGGAATCAAAATAAAGAAGATACAGCCATATTCAGCATGAAAAATGGTGATTCTGTGTAAATTTGTAGTTCAATGTAAACCTAACCTCAAAAATATATATATTTAGTGTTTTTTCGCTATATTTTAGCCAGTTTTGCAACTCGAATAATCTTTTTTCCTTCAAACTAAAGGTTTTCTGAAGATCTCCCAGTGTATTTTTAATAAATTTTATCTTTTCAATTCGAAGAGCTAGAAGCGTTAAAATTAATTTAAAAAAATGAGTATTTTGTGTCCTGAATTATTTCAGACTATTTAAATTGGTAAACATGGAAAATTTCGTTTTCGATCGTTTTTTTTGGCATTTGCTTTAACATACGTATGTTGTACTAACGTCTACTTTGCCAAAAAGTTTTATAAATTAAATAGTACAGCGAGTTGTTATCGATTATCTGGAAGACCGTAGGACCAACCAATAATTAAAAAGAACGTTTTTATATTAGTATTCGTTCCATTTCAGTATTTTAATCCATTACTTATATAGGATGGTCACTCTTACAGTGCATCCCCATTCGGATATCCGAAACGTTAAAAGATACAGCGTTGGTTAAATTAGAGAAAAGCTGCGTATTTTATATTTTTCAAGAATCTGAAAAAAAATAAGTGAACCTCAACTATTCTCAAGTTATCGCAAAAAACTGAAATTTGTCATTTTTTTCTTTCTTTTATTTATTTCAAGAAAATTATGAGACCTACTAGATTTACATAATTTACAATGGACTGTCTAATTACCAGAAATTTTCCAGGTCGATTAAAAACCTCATTTTCAATGTTCATATTTAATGTTGGATTTTTGTGTCAGTAAATAGAGCAAAGAAATATCACATTTTAAGTTTATTTTTTCTATTTTTGAATACTTTGTATGGTTAATCAAACTTGGATAATACAGACGATTTTGTATTAAAATAGGGAGCAATTTTTTGCTTGAAAAATTTTTCAATTAAACTTACGGTTGGGTCGCAATGAAAATATTGCCTACTTTTTGTGGGTGACCCTGTACACAAATTACACTTGTTTAAGTAATAAAATTGTGACCGAAAAACAAGGGACGGAGATTAGAGAAAAGATTATTATTTTATCTAAACTTATTATAAAACTCACTCATTCCGTGGATACCAACCTTTTGTTTTTCAAGATCAAAAATCTGTGACTGAACAATTTCCATTTGTTGCGAAAGCTCGACAATTTCCCTTTGAATTTCTTCACGGCAAGCTAACCAATTGGCCTCTTCTTCAAGTTGATGGAATTCCAGATCTTCAAAAACTTTTCTTTCATTATCTAAAACTTCTTGAGATTCTAAGTATTTCTCAAATATACTATTGTATTCCGGAGAATGTTTATTAACTTCCGACAATTGTTTTTCAATTTCATTAAATGCTTCCTGGGCTTTAGCTAAGCGTTGTTTGCAATTTTCCTGATGAGCTGCTTGAGATTTCTGACAGTCCTCCATTTTAGACTCAACTTCGTGGGCACGATTTAATAAAATTTGTTTTCGTGTTTCCATTTCTTGAAGTTCGAACATTTTTGATTTGTGTTCGCCGGCTATAAGAGCTTTCTCCATTTCAAGCTAAAATAAAAATAATATTAACATATATCGAAATATTAGAAATATTAACAATCTACTTCTCGATTTAATTCCTCTTCTTGCATTTCGATTTCAGACATTTTTCTTCTAATTACTGCCATGGAGGCAAGCACCTTCTGCTTCTCACTTTTTAGAGATTCCAGTTTTTCTTTGTTTATTTCTCGTTTTACATAAGGTATATTTGATGCTTCTTCTGAACCACTGCTTTCTTTGGGACTTAAGAATGGTAGTATAGTTTTCTGAGGAGAAACTTTAACACTGTCTTCAATATTTTCTAATAGCTTGTCAGTTTCTTTTTGACGTTCCCTTTCAGGAGAAGGAAATTTATTTTCGATTAAATCCATATTGTGGTCTTTTGGTGAACTGAAAATAAAAAACAAAAATGAAAATAAAATTACTACAATTTAAGGCAAATGTACCATTCTTTACTAGTGATGCATGGTATAGTCTTAATTCTTGTTCTTGGTGATTGAGGGTAAGTTTGGATATTATTTTGTTGAGTAACATATACATTCTCGTACATGCTTCCACAGTCTTTTGCCCTATTGTCTCGGATGATTTCTACATTTTCGTAATGGAGTCTTCTATTTGGGGTACTATTTGTTACGTTCTCGTAGAAATAGTTTGGACTGAGATGATTCCCACTCGAACTGAAACTGTTAGGTTCTGAACCATCAAAACTGAATACTTTGCTGTCGTTCGATTTACTGGAAGATAGAGATAAAGGGCTCGATGTAGGTGAAGGGACACCATAAGAATTGTTTGGAGTAGTTAAACATTGACGTTTATCCCTTGGAAGCGAACCGTTTGTTTTTATTCTAAAATAATTATTTTTGTTCTATTACATCTAACAAATAATAACATAGGGTATGTGATAATGTACTGTTTTACCTGTTAGGTGTTGATATTTTATTATTTCTTTCCCACTGCACCTGCTTTTCATATTCTGCACACATTGTCAATATTTCCTCAAGTCTCGCCTGTTCGGCCCGTTCTATTTCTTGTTCTCTGATTCTATCTATCTGAGCCTAAATAAAAATTCATTTAACAGCATAGCTTTTTGTAAAAATGAACGTAGCAAACAGTATAAACGTTGAACTTAATGTATTTCTTTAACAACGTGCCGTTAGTCATATAAGGAAATTATCGAACGCCTAGATAATGGTTGTTTACGTTTGAACTGATAAGAACGATATCGTTAAACGTATGTACATATTGTAAAACAATTTTCCTAGAAAAGGTGCCAAAAACGAATGCTATACAATAGTTTTAAAAATACGAACTTCGTTTGATATGTAAAAATAAAAAATTAAAATATGCTTCGATTATTATAAGACATTAGTAAAAAAATAATAAACATGTTTTTGACATAAAAAATTCTGTTGTAATATCTATTTAACAAAATAGACGATTATACTTCCAGATTTCTTAATCTCATAATAGTAAATCAAATACGTACAAAAGCTAAACACTCAGTGTCGAAAAACTAAATAATATCCTAATTAAATAAATCTGTTGAAAAGCCAATAATGTAAAAGTGGGGGAAGTACGTTTTCGTTAGTTGTAGCATGCTTGTACTAATTAGAGGTGAGGCTGTTTTCTTTTATTGAAGTGAGACTTCTTTGGGCTCGATAGGAGTAAAACCTCAAGGCCATGAAGCGACACGTTTTACAACGTTTTGTCTCGCAACGCGATAGGCTATGAGGATAAAAAGACGGGCATGCGCATATCAGTATTACAGTCAGCTGTTAGTGACCGGCATCTCATGTTATAATATATTGTATATTCACTATACTATAGGGCTAAATAAATGTTTTGGTTATATCTGTGCAGTTATATTACAGTAAGTGTATTACAGTAGATGTTTATTTAATAACAATGAATATTTATTTAACAGCGAGTATTATTATGTATTGATTCTAATTCATTGTAGTTATTGATAGTTTATGATTTCTTAAGCACTTGGAAAAATAAACGTAAGCGGAAAAAAATGACCATTTTTTTGTTATTGAATTACATAAAAGCATATTAAAGTAATACTCCTTAGGTGGATTAAAGATAAAATATGTTGGAAAACATATGAAAATTCTTGTACTCTCTGTTTTTTAATTTTTTTTTCCGATTGAAAGTTTTTACCCTAATGATTTGAACAATTTCTAAAGTAATACAATAATTAAACTAACCTTATTTCTTTTCATTTCAGCATCATTATTCCTTTGGGCGATATCATCTAAACTTCCTGAAACGCAGAAGATATTTCCGTTATTTTCAAACAATTCCCCTAAGGAACCACTCCTTCGATGTAGTTGTTTTTTTAAGTTGTTATTCGAGCTGGGGCTTGGGGTAATGCTTCTATGTCTAACAGTAGATAAAGTGTTATTATTTCTCATTTCCGGCGAAAACTTTTGTGATGGCAAATTTCTGTAATTTCCAGAAATGTTGGAATCTTGATATAAATTGTTGGTATTCGACAATTTTTCGACATTTTGATTCCAATTTACCAGTTTATTAGTGTTTACTTCCTTTTTCCCATTTTCAAATAGCACAACACGATTGTTAATGGTTTTCGATTCATTAATAGCCACATTAACGTATTGATGAGGAGATTTACGTCCAAAAAATTGTCTATCAGGTGTTTTGTTTTTTTGTTTATCATCGTTAAAGCAGGAGTCGGAATAGTTGAGTGCGGACTGAGGAAGATTTTTAGCAAAATCTTGAAGATCAGGGGGGGCTTTCCCTAAAACATCTTTTGCAGGCGTATTAACGGTGATTAAATTAGATGAGAAAACTTTTGGTGATATCGATTTTTTAAAGTTTTGGGCAGCGAGGTATTCAAATTTAGAAACTTTCATTTGGATGCTTGATATAGGTTGCTCAGTGGATGGCAGCGATGTCTGTTGAACTTTACGTGGGATTGACGGTGGTTTTTTCTCATATTTACCCTCCAAATCATCCATCTCAGTTACATCAACATCAAATTTTATTGGAGTCATTGAAATGCGTGTATTAGGTAAAACGGATTTTATTAGTTTTGCTTCCTCAGGATGATTAAAACGCAGACAATTCGATCGGCCAATGGTTAACATTACCCCTACAATAACAGAATGAGGCACGCTCAAATACCTTACTTAAAGCAATTAACTTACCTTGGGTGAGTCGGGTTGGTTTAGTTACTTTTATTCCATCTATGGCAAGATTTTCGGACAAAGGATAAAGAGTTACCACTCCGTGATCGTTCTCTATGTTGCAATGTAGGGGCTGTACTCCAGTTCCTTGGACGTGGATATCTACCCCTTTACCGCTGCCCAAGGTTACACGACCTTAAAATAATTAACATAAACATCTTTTACAGGATAACCTAATCTGAATATTTTGATATTCTATGTGAAAAGCAGTTTTGTCCTGTAAGTGAAGAAGTTAGTTATATTTACAATTTCTATGCTTAAAATAAAAGTGCTTGATATGTAAGTATGTAAAAAGTTAGGTTTGGCGCTTGGGACAAAAACGAAATATGAACCGGCGATTCTTTTTTCATCACTTTTACTGCACGTGTTCCCAACCATAGCGGAAACAAATACGTAAACCTTTGTACGAAAGTATATATGCAGTTCGACAGTGGATGAAACGTAACTTCCTTCTGTTCTAGTTTAATAAAACAGAAAACGTAAGTTAAAAATAAGTGCAATAGTAAAAGGTGGAAACATCAGCATCCACAAACGAAATTTCACGTTTCCTTATATTCTTCATTTTAGTTTAACTGAATTTGAGATTTCCAAAATTTATAGATTATCACTTTATCAACGAAATTATCTGTAAGTTGGTTTTAATCAATAATAATTTTTGTTTTAAATTTAACTTATGAAAATTAATTAATTTAATAATAATAATAATGATAGCAGTATGATACTTAAATGGTAGTATTTGCAAATTAACATCATTAGTATAAATAATAACGGAGGTTATTTAAAATTCCTTAAAGAATCTTATCCTTTCAAATATGTTTATCCGTTGATTCCAGTTTAATACGATTGAAATATGCGTGATTACAGTTATAACGGAAATTGATTCTATTACTGTTTTTTTTATTAAGGTAATGTTAGATCCTGTCTATTACAAATAAAAAATATTGCTGATAGTACTGCTAGATAGGTACCTACTAGTTATTGCAATTTAGATTTTTTATTAATCATTAGAATTGTTATTTAATTAGACAGTGATTTTTCTAAAGTCTAAGAATCTATTTTATTTGATCAGAAAGATCATTCTTTTTTTAATGTAATAATAGCTAACTATCCATATCTGTTGGTCATTGCCGTTGTGCTAGTCTCTCGCTATTATTAATATCATCATATTCGTTTATTTCTACAGTAAAAATTTACAATTCTTGTAGTGCACGAAAGACTGTAGTGTTTAGTGAAAATGAACTAGTGTCAGTAGATCGAAAAATTAACGACTGACACCCTAAAGAGGACATACTATCAGGTAATTAGTACTCAAACCAACCATTTCGCTTTAACTTCCCAAAAAAGGCAGCTGACATGCACCAAAAACTATTCCATGGTTTTGTATTGAATGATACCTTTTGATTGAGCTAACATACAAATGACATGCACCAAAAACTATATAAAAACTGAATGGGAAAGGATGGAAAGACAAAGAATATATAGCATGAAAAAAAAATAGACGGCATGCTAGCTGAGAAAAGATAAGATAGCTGGAATGAATTATTAACGAAATGCCAAAAGGGAGACGTACGACCAGTACTTAAAAAAAATAGCAACAGAGTACCAAACGAACCCATCAAAAATAAGAACGGAACCTAAATTTTCGCAACAAACACAAAGCAGAATTACTTGCAGACTCGATAAAAAAACAATGCACCAATTCCATGCAACACTACAAAAACAGCATGGAACAGAATTCCAAGCAAGACTAAAATTTTACCCAAACAATATAGTACATTACATAACCAAAATTTTCAATGACATTACAACGACAACAATACCCAAAAATCTGTCAGAATGCAATGCCAGGAAAAAACACTTCAATTCCTGAGAATAAAAGACCAATAAGTCCCATAAACGTCCTGGCAAAATCTTAGTCTTGGATTTTCTACAGGTAGAAATAGAAGAGAAAGGCATAAAATTCATCATGCCAGTTCGGCTTTTCGAAGGATATAGGAGCTGTCCATCAAGCCGCGATCCTAGTAACTCACTTAAGAAAGAACTATTAGAAGAAGAAGAAAGCTTTAATGGTATTCCTTTTCCATTTTCTCCGGTATTATTTAACGTTCTTATGGGAAACTTGTACAAAATTTTAGAACACTACAAGAAAGTAACTTTTCAATATGCTGATGATACCGTGATTTTAGTAATCGCCAAAACTTGGGCTAAAAGGGTAACAGATATGGAATACGCACTGCTCAACATGGCCAATAAAACTCAATGTACGAAAAATAACAATCCGGAACGCAGAGAGAAATTTGCTCAAAAGGACAAAAGAAATAACTTTTCGCTGACAAACCGCCAACCAATTATAATTTTATTGGTTTAATGTTTAAAGAGGATTTAATGTGGTTAGGGATGTTGATGAGGGTGGTATTTAATGGAAAGCCCGTCAGAACAAAGACATGAATCACTAACGGTAATGGTTTTACCGCGTACCCGGTTATCCTGTACCCCAGAGCCGCGTAATTTTTAACTTCGTGGGAGCCGCTACCTGAGGTTAGTTTGGGTCACTCCACACCCTTCAATGAGTACGAGAGCGTAAGCAGTAATGACTCATATTGCTTTCTCTTTTTCTTTTCCTCTCCACTCTCATATCAAGCCCCTTCATCCCGTAGACGAACGAAGTCTCTCTCGCAACTTGAATAATACCTACGAAAATTTTCTAATGATCGTCCCACAGCTCAGGGGTAGCATGGCGGACTACGTTCGCAATGCTATTGGGTTCGGCTATGGAAGAGGGGACTCACCTACGAATTGGAAGGGATAAGAAAAGGAAATAATCATCCCATTCGCACTCACAGGAGCAATGAGGAGCTTCTTGGCTATACCTGAAGAGCTCTCGGGAGTCAAAAGAGCCGAGTTTTCCCGGTTCTGCTGTATCCGACAAAATCACTATCCGGTGTATTTCTACCCCTAATAACTGGCACACCTTCCATACGTCCAACGCTCACCCTTTTAAAGATTTAAAAATCCCGAAAGGCTTATCTCAGGAAGCAAGAGATAAAATGATACGCAAATTAGAAATGAGTCACATACCCTGCAGGGTATTCTTCTCTGTAGAGTAGAAGTAGGCTAATTATTAAGTAATAATCTAATGTATTATAACTGACGAGACATATACGATATAGGAAGATTCGTCCTGAAATATCATAATTATAAAAAATTAAAAAAAAACTATGACTTGCCCCTGCGAGTTTTTCAAAAGCCAATTGTGCCCATGTGTTATCGTCAAGATTAAATAATTAACTTATTCAGTTTACATAAACATGCATATAAAAAGGCTGTAACATTATGTTATGCATGTAGAAAATTTAAATAACATACAATATACTTGAAAATCCTGAAATATATGCATACGTTTGTTTACAAAACTTTAAGAAAGAGAAAATTGATAGACTACTGGTATCTATAAGAACTATAAACAGTAAACGAGCTACTACGGCTACTTCAAATTTTTCCGTTTTAAATCAATTTAAATAAAAAAGTCTGAAAAAATCAAAATCGCATAAGTTATTTTTGAATTTTACCTGGTGGTATAGGATGAACAGTGACCGCTGTGCTGAATCTGTTTCCTCCGAGGCTGACCAGGTGAGGGGAATCGGTTTGCAACTTAAGCGCCCTTCCTCCTCCGCCTGTAGTCTCCTTTAGTTCAACAGCGCCCGTAGGCAAAACCTTGGAACCGTTATGAATATGTTCGATGGGCGGTGATAATCCACCACAGGTACCGCCGACCACTTTAGCAAGGGTCGCTCCTGACATAGCTAAAAAAAAAGATTTATGTAAGCATTTAGCTATTTTTTTATACCTATGTTCGTAGTTGTATTATTATCAAATGTATTATATATCTAAACATTTTCTGTCGTCATCCCAATATTAATAAGCATTTTATCAAATCCATACATATGCCGCTCAAGAAATGATAAGATTCCCTGAGATTCATCAAAGATAAAAGGGACCCGCTGTTATCTTTAGGAGTCTACCGGATATTCTGTAGCTGTGGCAAGGTTTGTATTGGTATCACAAAAGGATCGGTTAATGCCAGGGTAACTGAGCATAAAAAAAGCTGCCAGCAGTTAAATGAGATACAAAAAGAGAGGGCTATCAAATATTTATTTACTGACACTCAGTTGCCTTCTAATACTTCAGGGTACTACTCGAGGCTACATAGAGAAGCAACAGAAATCTACAATCACAAGAAAATTTTGAACAGAAATGACTAAGGAATAAAACTCAACAATATTCAGATTCTAGTATTTAAAACAAAAATTTGTTCAATCGTGAATAGTAGTGCGAGTCGAAAACAAGCGTTAAAGCCTTTAATATGTCTTCAAATATAAATAAACATCACGTTGATATTTTCAGTAGTAAATGGTACCAATAACAGCACATTTGAGCAATACAATTGTAGTGGATAAAATGGTCAATTTTTTCGTGCAATACTGTACGGATTATACGCTCCTCACCGGTTAAGAGTTTGGCCGAGTTGTCTCCTTTCTTTTCTGGCCTAGTGCTGTTCTTATCTACTTTGCGCAGGTCAAACTGAAGGTCACATCGCTACAGAAAGTAAACGAAGTACAGTACTATTACTTTAACAAGCATCACTCAGACCAACAGGAGGATATAAACGCAGACGAAACTCAGACAAACTCAATTAGTACCTACGGTTAGCACTACGTAGCACTTAAGGCAACTTAGATCCAGTTAGATCGAGAAGACCAACGTGCTACCCTTGAAAATGCCTGACGTAGTTGTAGGTAAAATATTGGGGAACAATTTCTAAAGATAACGGCCAGAAAGCCCTAAAACAATTAATGAATGTCTACGCTTATTTATCAATTTAATAGCATTGAATTCATATCGGTCGCAGCACACTACCATGTCATGGAATTTTGTAGACTAAATCGCATGTTTTATTGCACATTATGAAGATTTGACTCCTTACCTATACGCTTCTCTAACGCGGAGATTCAGCTCCAACATCTACAAATATTCCTTTTTTACATATCATTAATTCTACATTATTAATTTTCTGGAAAAATTAAATTGAACAACCGCTGCCTCGTATGGTATCTTTCGATCAACTCTTAATTAATTTATGTGCTTTTCCGGTAATTCCGACGTTTGACATTAATTCGCGGTTGAGAAACGTAATGCGAAGAGATAATTACAGAAATGATGTAACTTTTCCCGAAAAAAGAATGAATAAATAAAAATAGTGGATAAAAATAATTGTTCTGTAGTGTTTTGGGTTAGTTTTTGTACTATACAAATATGACGCGATGAAATAAAAAAAACACTAACACACAATTAGTTTTTAAGACTGCCAATAAGCACAGGAGAAGATGAAGAAACTATTTACAATACGATGTAACAGTTACAATACGATGTAACAGGCACAATAGCGAAGACAACCACAAAAATGACAACAACGTTGATAACAATGTACACGAAAACTAAGTAGCTGAAGGAAAAGAACTAGAACTCACTTTTGAAATCGAAAGTAAGGGTATTTATTGTTAAAGTTGTTGAAGATTAACAAGGAGAAGGGTAGTTTAGATGAAAGACAGAAAGTACAGGTACTGAAGGTAAAAGTTCTCAGAAGTAAATACAATAGAATATCATTGCGGGAGAAACCAGATTATTAGTAAATACTAGTCAGGGTACATGCAGGTATAGGGGTTCCAGGTAATGACGCAAGCTCAAGAGTTCGAAGTTAAAATTGAAAGTGTAGATTTAGAAAGAAAATAAATTTAATTATTTACAATATATACAGATCGCTACAGTTCAAAAAACTGTAGCCAGTAAAATTTGTGAAGACCAACCTGCAATATTAATTTTAAGTTATTAGCAATCTTTTGAAAATGACGAAGAGACACGACTCAAGCTTAATATTTCGAAAGTAAAAGTAGTAAAAGCTAACATTTCCTACATTTTAAAGAACTACAGTTGCCGTATGCAAACTAAGACAATAAGGACCTAAATGAATTCTATTTTAATTATTTCATAACTCAACAACCGTCTCATCTAATAAGCAGAAATCTTTTTTTATATAGGTCAACACAATAACAACAACAAAAACTACTCATTTTGCAGTAAGACGACTCTATCCACGGTATCCTCATCATTCTCCTATAACACCGCATTTTGAAAGCTAACTTTTCCGCCGCACCGACAGTTCATGTTCCGCACCCGTATAATGTCATGCTCCAAACTTGCACCTTTAACAATCATTTTCGAATTTCTAAATAAATCGTTCGCGAACATAGAAGTGATTTCTTTTTATTAAAGGAGACCGACCCTGCGCTATCCTCTGCTTTATATCCCTACTACTCCTTCCGTTCTACTTATTTTACATCCTAAATACCCTGCATACCCTCAATCCATTTTTTGAATTTCAACACATTAGGGTAGTTACTGACTTCAACTTTAGATATACATATATAGGTTGTCCCAAAACTAGTGTTAAAACGCTTTGATCCTACTAAAGCTATCAGGCGAACAGGAACCATTACATACATTTAATTTTCAGTTGATAAACCGTTGGTTAGTACACGAGCTACAGCCACTTGAAATCCTACAGATCTTTTAAGGAATTTATTTACAAATAGAAAAATACAAATAGGTCTAATTACAGTCGTCATCTTCTTCGTCACTAGACGCTTACTGTTTTCGAAATAACAGCTGCTATTTGGAATGCATTTTCGCATCCTTTCGAGCCATTTTGTAACGACAGTTTTTCAGAAATCATTTCAAATCTACGACCTCTTAACTACTTTTTCAAATAGAGAAATACCACCGTGGATGTGGGAAGTCGAAATGAGCTGATAAATTGGCATGACGTTAGGAGAATCAAACGATTGTCGTTACTGAACGGATCACTTTCGTTCTGCACTCTGTCGACTATAAATTAAATTAACTTTATCTGTGCAGATTCTGTTCGCTAGATAGCGTTAGTAGTTTTTCGAAACATGGTAACAGTAGTTTAGCGCCAACTTTGGTATAAGCAATAAGTGTGGTATAACAAACGGACAGACGAAAGGAAATAACGAAACTATAACGGTTCCATTCCTTGTCATTTGGAATCCTAAAAACGAGTAACCAAAAAGAGAACTTACGTGAATTTGCATTAAGGTTTAACTCGAACAAAAATCATTGTTTAAACAAATTCATAAAAAAAGAAAAAAGTCAACTAAAGTGTTCATCAAAACACTTTTACTAGTGTCTACCATCATATTAAAGCAATGATACTCTGACGTTCTGACACAGATTACCGCATATTTACACATATGCATTCACATAGAGGCAGTTGTTATTTACGCCTATATTACATTATATCAATAGATGACGTTCACATTGTATGAACAACAAAAGCAGATGGCTTTAATTACAAAGTTATCTCCGTTGTTTGTCGACAGCATGCTTAATAATTGCGCAAACTTTAGTGTGAGAAAACCAACAAAAAATTAAAATAAATGAAGAGATACTTTCAAGTCAACAGAAATAATTTTTTTTGGATTAATGTAGACACAATCACAGAAATAATTTAGGTTAATTCTTACCTACAGCTACTTCAACATTATTTAAATTAAATAGCTACCTATCTCAACTTTGAGTACAATTTGTTGTTTTGAAGGGACACTCGTTACGATTTTGTTGCCCCGAATGTCCCATTTTTAGAATTTTATTACTGTATAGGTTTACATACTATAATGTATTAAAATCCTCGAAAATTGGTACCTGCAATTAAATCATTTTATGAATCATCTGACGTTAGAACATCGTCAAAGAGTTATATTATTGTGGGTACCTGCATGGTGCACACCGAAAACTTAAACGTTTTCTGGAGGGTTATTTCGTAAGAAATTGATAGGTATCCAGGTACTCTAAAACCTACCTGTATGACGTAGTAAACCGAGCAAAAATGTAGATAAGTATAGGTATATGTACAGCGCTTACTAATAACATTAGTCACAAAAAAATGAAAATTGATACATGAAGGATGCTAAAGGACGGTGCTACGTTAAAAACAATAAAGTATTAAAAAAAAAGTGAGTTAAGCGTACGAAACAACTTCTTCAAATCACAATATTTTTGAGAAGATGTTCACACATAGGTAGCAATCAGTTAATTTATTTTTTATTATTATATTACCTATTTAATGTAGATGATGTAGATACGTATATTAAAAAAACGGGAACATAGCCTATCACATGCTTCTAAACTAAAAAACAAAAGAGCATTGACATATAATTCAAACAATTAAGTTTAATTAAAACCACCACTTAAGAACGTTACGACTTGTTAATAAATGGGTACAATGGTGTTTTCCAGTCCGCTACATTAATTTATCTTTAGGTATTACGTTATTTACATACATATGTAAAATTATTTATAGGGCCATTAACTAAAATTAATTCCTAGCCGCTTTTTACTAATGCTTACCCACATTAGCAAAATAACAATTTAATTAACATTTGAGCAAAATTATGTTTTATTCTTCATTCCTTATTGCAAAATATTTTTCTTAATTATTGTAAAAATTCTGATAGATATTGGTATTAAGTACTTCGAAAACAATCTTACCTTAAGACATCAAACAACGAGCGTCATCCCTAGACCATTTATTCTTGGAATTTATTCATGATTCTTCGTGGATATATCAGTATTCTATATCCATAAATAAACTATTATAATACACCATGAAAGCTTTTACTCAGCACAATTAACATTATCAAGAAAAAAAAGGTACATCAGCTACGTTAGCTTTGTTGCAATTTATATATCGGCTTGAAAACATTACTGTTTGTATTATATTTGTGTTAGTAGCTTCGTAACGGCTGGTCGGAGAACTGAACACAGCATAAACAAGCACCGCTTGCACTACACGATCAGACACAACACTCGCGAAATAATGAAGTATAAGCTATGAGGTAATGCTTTGTTTCATCTTTGTTTGTACTATTCGTATCTTGTTATACTCTTCTTTCTTTCGCCGTTTTCCCCGCCAACGACCGTCACAATTCACATATCACAAAGGTCGAAGAAGCATGCGTATGTTGTATACATACATACTAACAAATAAAAACAAACATTACGTGCGAAACCGAAAAAGAGACTTCATGAGCCTTAATAATTAATATAAACTTTGTATAAAGCTTAAAATAACTAAACATAGGTCTATCTGGCGACAGAAAAACGCACTATTAGAATTAAAGCAGATAACTTATCAATGGTATAGATTTTATACATTGTCTGGTAGATGTCACTGATATTTTGAATAATAAATATATCTATGATGCCCGTTTGCACCGACGTTTTACTAAGGCCAGAGACTAAGGCAGACTTAACAATGTACTGCTTAAGCTTAAGTCTTACCACAGCCGTCTCTAATACAAGCCATGCTGAGAAATTTGGCAACAGCGCATTGCTTCGATGTGAGAGTCCTATTCTGCGAGTCTTAGTTGTTATTACTACACGTCGTTACACATGATTTTTAGACACCCATTACGATAAAAATGAATT